CAAAAAGAAAAATCATTTTATCGTAAAAATGCGTGGGGTGATCTCAATGGTTTTATTGACAGACATTGGTAACAGTAAAGTTATTATATTCTAAAATATCTTGAAAAACACCCCACGCCTTTTTACGATTAAATGTTTTTTCATTTTGAAGTTACCGAAAATTATTTTTTTGTGCTTTTTAGTTCTTCTAGTTACAAACGCGTGTTTTTTAGTTTTTTAAACCATAATTTATTTTCGCTTTTTTAGTCATTAATGATGATTATTTCTCATTAAGTCTAAAAAGTAACAAGTAAGTAAGTTACATATGCTTTAGCACACGCTTCTTAGTACGTAGCAAAAGACATTACCATATTTTTGGGTATGAAAACCCGTTAATCCTGAAGATCCTGATCAGGATAATAGGCCAAAATGATCAAATTATTTTACTGTCATCGGTCCTTGATAAGTGTGCGAAGTTTCAATTTATTTCGACGTTTTGAAGTGGGTGAAAACTGCGTTGAAAGATTCCGTTACAGATGCATACATACCAGTATATGTAGGTCAAGCTAATAAAACCATAACTTTTCATTTTTAATAAATAAGAGAGTAGTCTACCATTTCACATAAGCATATTAGGAATTTTTAATTCAGACTAAAAAAAATTAATTATACATACAGTTTTTAGAATACTATTGTGATTGCTATGTCTTTATTTCAATAGTCAATAAAATACCAATACTATCGGAAATTTGGTCACGCCCTAACTTCACGGAATGTGTTTAACGTCAAACTTTCTGAAACTTTTATCTCTGACAGATGGAAAATTCCAGAATGTTCGATGATTGTAATCTAACCTTCAAACTTTTATATGGAAAGAACCCCTTTATTGGAGCTCAATCGATATTTCATTACTGGGAAACTATTTCTTTTCAAAGGAATTTGAATAACGATACATTTTGATAGAAAAACGATATCCTTTATATTGCAGAGGAGTAACTATGCATACCATTCGACCGTTTGGTTTAGAAGGAATACCATGGCTACTTCGAGTCCTTTACAGATATATAAAAAGTAAATCCGATAAGTCAGGAATGTACCAAGAAGATTACATAACAACATCACAACATAAAATTGTATCTATAAACATAGCAGCTAACAATAGTAGATACTTAACGCCAAAGGGTTGGCACAACATAAATCATAAACACGTTAATACAAAATAACATTTCATCGCATTCCATAACGGCTTGCGAACATTATTATCGTGTAATTGTTAATTGTGAAGCCACTATTTACACTAATCTATGTAGCGAGTGAGAGTGTTTTATATCTTTTAGGTTAATAAATAATGACAGTCAAAAAAATATCATTGTACTCTCTACTCACGAGTAACATTAATTATAGTTTCTTATGATATTATTACCTACATGAGAAATATAACAATTATTTATCAAAAATATACTTATATCATTAAATTCTCACATCGTATTTAATGTACAACTTTACAATAATATGTATTAAGTCGTTTGACTTTTATTTAAACAAATATAAATTAAGCATTACTTAAAAGTTACTAATTTAATTGTAGAGTTACACCTAGCATTATGGCGCATTTTTAATATACAACATTATTAGAAAAAGTATATATATACCTATTTCAATTATAAGTTCTAATTTATTTCTTTTCCAACAAAAATCCAATTTATATCTTAAGAGTAGTAAATTAAAAACGGAAAGTAAATCCCGAAAGCCAGGTGCATTCCTGATTTTCTGCTTTTAGAATCTCATGAAATAATATCCAGAGACATCCAGTAAACATTTAAATCCATGAGCAATGTTTGAATACGCAACGTGTTCATCAGTTGACTGCGAACATCATTAATCAGATGTTTTTGCCTCGTCTAACCCGATGCGGGGCTCCAGATAAATTCTAACGAATTACAACTATACAATTTTCTTTTTTGATTCTCTAGAGAAGGCGAAAAAGTTAAGTGTTTTTTTTCAGCTTTGTATTTCAATTTCATTGATAAATGAGCAAATTATCTTAGGCGTTTTGAAGTCCAATTTGGCAAAATTACTGTTACTGTTAGAGTTTTTTATGGAAATACAAATATTTGTTCGTGCCAAAGAGAAAAAGTATTATTTGAATGTACGTGCCTAATAGGCTGTTTCTTAAATTACATTTTCAGTGTGCTTACATTGTAATGGAAGAATTATTAATTTTTACATTAATTTACATTATATACTAAGTTGTTACATAGTTCAACATAAGTGTTTTTAAATTATATAAAACACGAACAAGTTAGATAACAATAACTATTAATAAATGATTGTTGTACGAGTATATGAATAGTATTTGGGTGGAACAGATTTTTTTTTTTTTAAATTCAATTCCCGAGAGGCAGTACTAAATGCCTTTGAAGAGTTTGTTGCCTCCCGTCCATCTGATTTTTACAAGAAGGGCATCAATAAACTGCCAATGCGTTGGCAAAGATGCGTCGATTGCATGGGTGATTCCTTCGAATAACAGAAATAAAAAGTTTGAAAAAATAAGTACTTTCACTTATTGCATACAAAACGGCAATTTCATAGGTAACGACCTAATATTTATTTTATCTACAGTAAATTTTAAGAGTATAAAAAGACGCACTTTACAATAGTACTTGTCTATTCAGGTAAGGTGAAAGAAAATAATTAGTTACGCACCTCATATAAAAAGGTGAACGTTGTTTTACGTCCTAGTTTCGAGAGAATTTATGTGTATTTTGTATATATTCATCTATTTCCCTCTTCGTTGTGTATGCAATAAAAAGGCATAACACATAAACACAAACAAATTTTGGACTTTACAAGATAAAAAAAACTTTATATCACCTTGATATAAAGACGTAACAATCGGCGGTGTTATAGGTAGCTTAGTAGGCGATTTCTTACAGACAACAAGACAAGGTTTTACCTCCCGGATTGTCTCAGACAAGCTGTTCCAGAGTCTTACTGCTTGCTCAATAATCAAACTGGGTGGTTGTCAGTTGCAGTTCTCAGATGCCCGCGGGTCCCTGCAATGTTTGTTGTGTAAGAACTGAAAACGTCTGATTTTTTTTAAGTATTATGTCTTTTTTGTTCACTATATACCATTATATCATATTACTTTCGCTATGTTATTTTATTTTTTTATTTTATTATAAAAAAAGAAGAACACTCTCTGAGAAATTTGTAAAATGTATTCCTTTCCTCTCCCTCTTTTTACTTTCCTTCATTACTGAGTAATATTACTTTACAATGCGAACCAACTTTATTTATTTTATTTCATACTAGCTGACCCTGCAAACGTTGTTTTGCTATTTACATTATTTAATTATTTTATTTTTTTCAATTTCTTAAAATCCTAAAACCGACTTCTTAGCTGACCTCTACTCGGTGAAAAGAATATTCCTACGAAATTTCAAGTCTTTAGCTCTAATGGTACCAGAGATATCGTGATGAGTGACTATATACGTGGAAATCTCTTATATAAATATAGATTTTATATTCTTGTGTAATATCACGCAAAGAAATCCACATCAAGAGATTATTTACTGAAAATGTCAGTTTTTGAATGATGTTAAAACAAGTTCTGCTTTTTAGATTCAGATAAAACGTATTTATTTTTTGAGCCACAGCTTGTTGTTTTTCGTAGAAGCTCGCTTGAACTAATATTTTCTTCTTATATATTCTTAGCTTTTATATTCCTACTTTATGAAAGTCCCTTGAGGCATTATACTGGTTCTAAGTATTCTGAATATATTTTTTATTATGAAAATAGGTTTATTGAAGTAGGGTATTAAATCTCTGAATGTCAGAGCACAAAATTTACATGTATGAATTGGTGTTGTCCAATTGTATGAAATATTATGAATATTTACGAATACTTAGCAGTATTCGTATACATAAAGAAATCATTATTATAAATATAGGTAAATTTTTGTAAACCTATGTTCTATTTGAATGAAACTTCTAGTGTCTATTACTACTTTACTTTTGTTTACAAAATATACTATAGTCATAGTCATTTATTCATGAACAAATTACATTGTATTTGAAATATAATAATTAATAAAAGATAAAATAAATTATTAAAGAATTTAATGATCTTCAAGTATAATGACAAATTAAAATTATCAATGAGCTTTTGAGATCGGGTCTGTGGTCCTTTATTTTACCTGTACATTATTGTTAGATTTAAATTATATTATCAGCATCATCGTCACCAGCCTTTAGTAGTCCACTGCTGGACATGAGCGTCTCTTTAGAAAAGAGGTTTGCCGTATGGTTTGTTAAATGGTAGGTATATTGGATACTTATGGCCACATTTTTTTATTATTCTTTATGTACATATTACAACTCACTTGTACAATGGCGGACTTAATGGCCACAATATTTTATTTTTGTAGTATTTTTTTTCACAAAAGCACAAAACAACCGTAAAGACAGAAATTATTTTTAGTAGTTTTTTTTTATATTTAATTAGAATTAAACCTTGAAATTGGGACTAAAATTAATGAAAATTAAAATATACGAGTAATTTGCAATGCAAACGTATAAAATATCAGATATATAATAGAGTAATACGATAATAGGATATAAACCTGCAGCCCCTAACGCCTTAGGCTGCCGCTGCCACGACTTCTTTATATTTCACTATGACTCACACTGAGAGGACTCATTTTATAATTTTCTTTGTTTCAGGATACTTCTGGCACATAACAGACTTTCATTATGACCCACTTTACACATCACAAGGCGACACTAGAAGACGTAGGTATAAAATATTAAAACATTTTTTGTCTTAAGGTTGAGGCAGACATCGGATAAGGCCCACTTATAATAAAAGCTGTTCCCGGATCTCTCCTATTTAACACGCATATAAAAAAATGTGAGGTGGGGTGGCGGCAGGTTGAGAGCAAGTTGTAATCTGTTCGTAAATAAGAGATGTGATAAATTTAAAGGCAATAATTAAAATATTTTAGAAATATATAAAAAAAATGGAAATCAAAAAGTTCTTCATCCTCCTAGATTGCAGGAGAGCAGATGAACGCGGCAGTTCTGGCCACCATAGGGCCTTGGGAAGATTTGGAGACTACTCTTGTGATAGCTCACTGGAGCTGATAGAGTCGGCGGCGCGGTACATGCGCACAAGACATTCTGAAAATGTCGAGTTTGTACTGTGGACTGGGTAAGTATCATTTATTTTGTATATTCTTAAAGCAATAACGCTTTGAAACTTCTATCGATGATGTTTAAAAAAGCGACAAATCGTATGTTTGGGCAGAACACTCACGTGGCGAATGCCGTCTGTCTTCCCGGCTATCTCCGATTCCACTCGTCGATTTGTCGCTTTTTTAAACGTCATCGATAGAAGTTTTCAAAGCATTATTCGTCGAACATTATATGCATATTAATTCTGTTTGGCGCGCAAAATCCAACACCTAGTTGTTGTAATAGAGATACTATCGCGACATGGGATTCTCCAAATAATAGCCCCAAATTAAGTGTCGGGAGAGCCCGTTATGTATCAGCAAATAAAGGCTGAGTAGCAACTTTGAGCAAAGCAGAGCTTTATAGCGGGCACAGAAGTAAGAGCAAAATTCCTGCAATTCGCAGAAGGAATAAACAATAAAATAATAGAAATGAATAAGTAACAGTAACGACTGAAAATACTAAAGAATATCACAAACTCGTGTTTGGAGGATCAATAGTAAATTGTAGTTTTATTTTGAGGATTTGTATATTTATCATTTGGAGCTTGCTTTTCACCCGACTGCCTATGCAATATGTATATGGAGGTAAACGTTCAGTAATGATGTGCAATACATTTCGCAGCATCGTAAAGTCCCTGTTAGTAAATAAGTTTATATGTGAATTGAATCAAATGCTAACATTAAACTTTTCTTACAGTGACATAATAGCAGCCCACACGGGAAATGATGACGAGAAACATCAAGCAATTAGAAACATGACAGAGCTACTTGGTAGAACCTTTAGCTCGCATTTTGTATTTCCAGTGCTGGGTCATTTAGACCCAGCCCCTTCAGAGAGTCTCACCAATATGTGGAGTCATTGGCTGCCTTTAGAAGCATTACAGACTTTTAAATATGGTAAGGATTCTACTATATTAGGCTATTGACATTTTAGATAGCTATACTGGAAAAGGCAATGAGTAATTTCTAAGAATAAAGGAAAGGATACTTCGATTAGTCCAAGTGATTAAGTTACTTGCATGTTACTGCACTTTGGAGCTCAATTCACAAAGGAGTATTAAAACTGAATCTGTTGAAACTGTTTATAAAGGACAACTCGCGCAGTAGGAATATATCCTGAAATCATTGATAAAAATAAGTCCAAGCTAAATTCTGGCAAAGTTTTGTTAACTAACTCCGTAACTTAGTTGTACCCATCATATAAACTGCACAATATACTATCGAAAACATCAATTCATTAAGTCTATAACTAATATTTTCACTCATTGAAAAGAAATACAAGCTTTCGAGAATTCAATCTTGTACTAGTTCATGACCAGCATGTAACGTCTTTAAAGTATCTTGGCTCGGAATCAACTCACGATCCTCTACATGCTTTGGCAATTCTGCACTCTCTACTGACTTTTAAATATGGTGATTGTTTTGATGTCTTTAGACTACAGCGTCCAACTTTTCTGCTATCAAGTCTAAGTTAGTGCTTGAATCCGCCTTTTATAAAAGTTTAAAGTTTCCAGGAGTCAACTGCGGAAATACGAAACACGAACTTTCATACTCGGCCCGTGTGTATGTTGTACATTAACTTCATTTTTCTTTTGTTTATTTATTTTTATTTCATTCACTTACTGTTATAACTTTAATATTTTAAAAGACTGTTTTCTTATAAAACTTATAGGTTGAAGCAATAGTTTTGTAGTATGAAACATATTTTCTGAGATAGTAGTATTTTATGGAACTTGAATGTAAGATTGTATTTATGTCTAGTGTAACTGTAGGTTTTCTTAAGATCTATTAAAAAAAAAGACGAGGAAGTTTTGAAGAAATTATCACATTAACAATTAAGTTTGTGAAAATGGCTGTATGCATGTTTATTACTTAACCTCAAAAGAAAGGAGATATTATTATATGTTGTACTATAGTCTAAAGTAGCACATGGGAAGAAATGTCCGAGACTACGATTTAATTGACTGCACGTATGGCGTAGTGCTTTGTTTCAAGAAAAAATGACTCAATTATCAACTTAATATATTTTAAGCACAAAATCCGCAAACTAAAAGACTCATTCATATGCAATTGAATGAATCTTAAATGCTATATGAAATGAAATAACAAGAAAACTATTAATTACATCCTTAATACTGAACTGACTGTTTATATAAAATATTGTTATAACTTAATGAAAGGTATATTTTTAATTAATCAACTTACTGCGGGTAATTATTTAAGTGCCTTTCCCATTGAATTGGTGGTTCATTTATACTGCCAATACAGGGAACCGTTGCACTAGTTAAGATTTCACCGCTTTATTGGATTTTTTCAAACCTTACTGAAAACGATTATAATCGAACGATCTAATTATTAAAAAAAATAATTCAGTTGAAGCAGTATCAGGTGACTAGAATGTTTCAGTTATTTGCGGTTCTCAATATATTGTCTGGACGATTATTTTAACAAATAAAGCTAGTTTTTGTTATTAAAAGTTAGTACATCATTATTAAGAATTTAAGTATACTTTAATATTAACATGAGCAGAGTGCTGACGTTTTCGTAAAACTGGGTCCATATTATGTCAGATACAAGAACCAGATTCATACGGCAGTGCATAAAAGACAAAGAAAATAAATTGATTGCTTTATATTAAAATTTTCCAAACAGGTGGTTATTACACGATAGAGCAGAAACAGAGTAAGTTGCGGATAGTTGCGTTGAACACTAATTTGTTCAGTGTCCGTGATTCGTCCAGTGTGCAAGCCAGACGGCAATGGGAGTGGCTAGATGCTGTACTAGATAAAGCCACAGCTAATAAAGAAATGGTAAGTTAAATTATTTTTCTTTTTTGTTGTTGAAGCTACTAGATTAAGAATATATTTTCAAATTTAAAATATTAGGTACACATTATTTAAAAAACACCAAGTCGCTCAATTTCATAAGTTGTAATAATTGTGGGTGTAAATTTATTCGTGTTGACTTGAGTTGTTCTAGTTGACTATCAAATTATCTGATATAAATACATGATTTAGCTCGAATTCGTGGCAAAACTGTACAGAGGTAAATGTGTTCTGCAATATTTACTATACTGTAGTTCTCTATTGTCGAATCCTCAATTTTATCAGATTTTATCCAACAGATTTTAAGGAAAGTGATGGGTATCACATCAACAGTCTTTAATAGTCCACTGCTGGACATCCTACTATATCACGCTGGCCAGACGGGTTGGTACAGGGTTTGTGTCAAGTTCCGGGGGGCAAACTTCCAAGAGGCGGCGCGCCTGGCCACAAGGGGAGTCTCCCTGGTGGTCGGGCGCATTGAGGCGCTGGGCTTACGGGTGGCCCTAGATAAGACGGAGGCCCTGTTATTTCATGGGCCCCGTCGTGGTCCACCCCCTGGCGCCTCAATCGTGGTCAACTCGGTCCTCGTACCGGTTCGGGCCCAGATAAAATATCTGGGCCTGATCCTCGACGGGAGGTGGCTCTTCGACGAGCACTTCCGACAGCTTGCTCCAAAGCTGGTCGGCGCTGCGTCTGCCCTAGGGCGACTTTTGCCCAATTTGGGTGGACCCAGCGTCGCGACAAGGCGGCTGTACACGGGGGTTGTCCGGTCAATGGCACTATACGGTGCACCGGTGTGGGCGGCGGCTCTGACCGCCCAGAATAGGGCACGCCTCTGGCGCCCTCAGAGGGTAATGGCGGTCAGAGCCATACGCGGTTACCGCACCGTGTCGACGGAGGTGGCGTGCGCGTTGGCCGAAACTCCCCCGTGGGATTTGGAGGCGGAAGTGCTCGCCGAAGTTTATCGGCGAGTGGCTGACTCCCGGGCGGAGAGCGGATTTCGCCCTCCGCCCGAGGATGTGCGCGAGTGGCGCGAAGCCGCTCGCCGAGCCACGATGGCTCGTTGGTCGTTCCGGCTGGAGACTCCATGCGCTGTGTGTGACCCTTACCTTCCGGCTGACGCAGGTGCTTTCCGGGCACGGTTGCTTCGGAAAGTACCTGCACTCGGTCGCTAGGAGGGAACTGAGTCCCGCCTGCCACCACTGCGACTGCAGTGAGGACTCGGCCCAGCACACGCTGGCGGTCTGCCCCGCATGGGCGACGCAGCGCCGGGCCCTCACTGCAGTCATCTTAGTGGATCTCTCGCTACCGGCCGTAGTACGCTCCATGGCCGGTAGCGACAGTTGTTTTACCGCGGTCGCAACCTTCTGCGAGGAAGTAATCTCGCAAAAGGAGGCGGCGGAGAAGGCCCGGGAGGACGACCTCCACTCGGACCCGATCCGCCGCCGGCGAACCGGGCGGCGGAGGCGCGCCTATCACCGCCTCATGCCTCCCTGAGTGTGGCCGCGGGTGGAAAGGATGGGTTTCCCCTCCACCCGCATTAGTTTGGCCAGCCGCGAGGGGGCGGCGTCCGCGTGTGCCGGACGTCGCCTAAAGAGAGGAAAATTTTGAGACGGAGCCCGCACCAGGAGCGGGCAGGCGCTAGGAGGGGTCCGGATGTCTTAATAACAGCTGTTCCCGGATCCCTCCTATTACAGGCGCAGAGTGGCACACCGTGTGGTTTTAGTCGGTCCGAGTCCGACACACCACCCCGCCGCAAACCCCGGTGGGGTGACGGTCCGAGGGGATTTCCACACGTTAAAAAAAAAAAAAAAAAAAAGGGTTTGTGTCAAGTTTTCCTTCTCTCTGCAGTGTTGTTGTTCTGCGTAGTTTTTTCCCTTAGTCGGCTCCTACGACACCCACGGGATGAATAGGGGACACTCTGTATTCTTAATCCGTCACCACACGGACAGATGGGTATATTAAATAACAAATTAAAAACTCTTAGGTTAAAATACATATTATTTTTCGCTAAATATAACTCTTACACTATGTTCTGTAAGCACTTTTATCTCCAAAGTAGTTACTGTTATCAACTTGTTTTGATGTCTAAACTTTACTCGTAAGTCATTTCAAATCCTGTTCATTTCATTCAATACATTTTGTATATTCAAAACTGAACAAAATTTAATTAACTCCTCATACATTAGAGCGCGATTCATATTCCATGAAATTCTACTGTATATGCATTTCTTGTTTCTAAAACTTAACTTTGTAATTGCAGACATCCTGTTTGCTTTTACTTGAAGTACTTAGTTTCTAACACAGTTTTGTGATTTTAGATAAAATATTCACAGCTTTTTGAGGGTGTAGCTTGTAATATAGGTGGCATAACATGTTGCACATATCTCATTCTTGTCGTATTTTGAAGTTTTGAAGGAGTTGAAAGACTACAAAGCTTAGTGCTTCATATTGATTTCAAATTAAAAAAAAAATTTAGTTAGATTACCGTCTAATGGATTTGATAATTATTTTTGTACGATACTTGATGTTTTATATATATATGCAAAAATTTAAATACCTTCAAATGTAATTTTTATTTCAAAAGGTGAGTTTACATTTGAAATAGAACAAAACAATTCTGTTGAAAAATAGAATGGACCAAAATTCAGTCGAACAATTCAGGTTTGAAACAAAGCTATTGTTGAGACACCGAATTTATGACAAAATATTTGGAAAGTATGTAAATTTTTATATTGTGCACGGAAAATACGCTGGTATTTATATGTATATAAGAATATACTATCTACTAAAATAGTCAAACAATTCAGCAATTATTACCAATTGTATGTTCTGTCGGGCTTGTTGGCCTAAACCCGAAGTCGTGGGTTCGGCTCATCACACATTTAATTATCATTTTCTGTTCTGTGTTTGGTGTAATTCATATATAACATATATGTATTTAGAAATACATAAGTATGTTTATTAACAGTATGATTACCATAGTACAGGCTCTGCCTAGTTTGATCTCAGAAGGCCGAGTGTAAGATGTATCGAGTTTTATGCGAGTTATGCGTACTCGTATATAAAAAATTTGTTGATATTTTTTAAATTTTAGTTATTAAAACATAACCAAATTAGCAAAAAGTTGAAAGCATTTTCATAGTATGTTAATATCACGTACTCGTGCATGGATATAAAATTTTTCTTTTGACGGTTTCGTAATGTATTACTAAATAATTGATGGAATTCTTCGCATTTTCGATGGAATATATTGAGACAGAAAGTCGTTAATGTATTGAAAGATGATGTAGAAATATTCATTCCTTAAGACTGTGACTGATGACAATAGATTTTCAAACTGACTTGTAAGCCCAACTTTTGCATTTTTGTATAAGACTGAGCAGATTATTCCATTTGAATGCAGTAGACTTGTTATAAAATACGAGTTTAATAAACTTAAGTACTGGTATTTTAACACACATACAATGTTACACAATATACTACAGTGTCTCTATCATATGATTCCTCGAGCTGGAAAGTTTTCGAAAAAACAAATGAATTTAACGTTTTCTACTCTTCACGAAGAAAATTATTATTTTTTAATATTTCTTTTGTTTTATAAATAATATAGGTAATGTAGACCATAACTTACCAGTATTGTTTTTAACTTCTCCAGCAAAGCTAATAAATGCTTGTGTTGGGAATGGGTTTTTAGTAATTTGATTGGAGTTTTTAACTTGCGATCACTTATCCGCCATTTACTGATTGTTTTAGTTTTTGTCTTAATAAAAGTAAAGGTTTTCGATCTATCGCATTAGAATGTGTTGTAAAACAGAAGCTATCACTAAAATGAAGTTAAATAAACTTTAAGTATTTTTCTTTTTTTTGTGGTATAAGGGGGCAAACGAACAGATGGGTCACCTGATGGTAAGCAACTATCGTCACCCATGGACACCTGCAACTCAAAAGTCACAAGTGCGTTGCCGCCCTTGGAGTTCCTCTCGCTCAAGTCAGCGGGAGGGGAGATTTGGGCTCCGGTAACCTCAATCACTCAGTGAAAGGCAACGAAAGAATTGCTTAACACCGATTTTCTGTGAGGCCGTGGTGTGGTAGCATGGCACTCCGTCAGCAAATGAAATAATAATAATTTTAATACAAACATTTCTTTTCATTCTTTTCACTGATAGTAACATGGTAGTAGATAATTTATAACCTGTAATTCAAGCCCCAGTAGTTAACAAAGCAACCTCATAAATATGCACTTAGAACGATATGAGTTGGATTCAAAACAGGTCGTTTATTTAACCAGAAGTGGTTCAACTACATCGTGCCAGTGTGGGCCGGAACTGAATGAAGTCCGGGCGACGGTCGGCCCGGAGCCGCTCTAATAAATTACAGATTAGAAAATCGTTAATCTAATCGCTGCTACCGAAATTGCGATGCAAAATTAATTTTTAGTTCTAGTTTTTCTTTGTATCAAATGTTTTTTTTTATCGTTGACTTTTTTTTGTTGTTATGTTGTCGTAAATTAATGCAGGTACTAATGTAGGTGAAAATTACCTCGTTCTAGATAATATAGAAAATCTCAACGACTAGTTGCTCTATTCTGGAACATATAATTTTACTATTCTTTGCTGGTGAATTCAAAGAATGCTAAATTTTATGGTTGTTTAATTTTTATCACGTTTTACAATGCCTCTATGTTACTGCAAGCAGATTTTAATGCCGACAATAATTTAATTTTCATACAGATGATTTTATTCAGCTGTAAATTCTACAATATTTATTAACTTGTTTAAACAAGTCGAGGTAAGATTGATACGAGTGACGTAATACTTTATTTAAGTAAAAATTATAAAAATGATTTACTTTTTAAATATTTTAAGTTGTGGAATACGAGAAAATCGGATTGAACTAAACCCATTTAGTTTGCCGTCGACTACGTCATTTAATTGGTTTATCAGAAGTCTTGCTGGACTACCTTAAGGTATTATCATAGCTTT